CTAATGGCTTAAGGGTTTTTCAGGTGGTGAGGAGGGGGATAGGATGAGGTTAAAGAAGAAGAAGAAAATATTGAGTTTTCCAAAGAATAAAAATTAGGCAAAAATAAGAAAGAAAGAAAGAGAGACTAAACATAAGTAAGTATTCATTCATAATTTTGCAAAGTTAAACAAGGAAATGATTTGAAAAATAATGACTTTTCCTGATTTTCGCGCATAAATGAATTGATAGGAGAAGGCTTGTCAAAACTTGCAGGTGGTTAAGTGTTCGTTCCTCGGCTGACACACTCTCTTAAACTTTGTCACCTAGGAAATGAGATAGGTTGAGTGGGGTGCTAGCAATCCCACTGCTACTCAAATATCCCAAAGGATGAAAACGCACAAGTGTCTTCGAGTCGACTAACAATAAAAATTAAGTGATTTTTACATAAAAATTGGTGTTTATTCACAAGAAAGTGCATGAAAACACATTAAACAGGGTATCTTTCTCTGACATGATTAAAAAATACGTCTCATTTAAAATAAGGGGCAGCAGTTTTTAAGACTGACCAGTTTCTGTACATGTATTCACACCGAGGTAACTTAAGGTGAGCTGTTTTTATGACTCGTTTATCGCTGTTATCCTGTTTTTCAGTCTTCCCTGAAAGCTCTCGGTTGAATTACTATGGTTCCCAGCAGGACGACTGACGACTACTAAGTAGGGAAATGTGGATAATAAAACAAATTAAAACAAATAATACCTACTCTGAATGTATCCTTAGACTGCTTGGCCACTCAACCGACTGCCTGATTTCTCACAAACTGGATGATATGCAAGTGAAAAGCAGCAAGTTGGCAGAAGAAGCATCCAGCAAAGATAGGACTTCAGGTGAACATACAGAAAACAGAGGTGATGAAGATTCATGGCCAATAGCAACAGCAACAACAACAGACAACAATCAGAATAAATGAGGAAATCTGAAGAAAGCAACCTCCTTTACCTACCGGCCTACCTGAGAGGCATCATTTCAACTACACGCTGATGGAACTGATGAGGATATCAAAACGATGATTGGGAAGGCAAGGCAAACTTTTATTTCTCTCAAGTCTATGTGGAGATCAGTAGCACTCAGCATGAAAAATAAGATCCGGATTTTCGACTCCATTGTGAAGTCAATGCTACTATACGGATCAGAGACTTGGAGCGTCATTAAGAGAACCTCAAATAAACTACAGACTTTTATCAACAGCTGTCTTTGCTCAATACTTTGCTCAAGATCAGATGACCGGTCAGAAAAGATCAACAACAGGGATCTCTGGGAGTGAACCAACCAGGAACCGAATGTGCAACAAATATGCAGGAAGAAATGGAGGTGTAATGGCCATACTCGTAGAAAACCATCAAGTGACATCGCACGATAAGTCATCACTCGAGTGAAACCCAAATCGGAAGCGGCTAGTTGGTCGTCGGTGATGGGGTGGGGTGACATGGAGGAGGCGGTGATGCGAAGAGGAGATGAAAGCATGTGGGCAGACGTAGAGCCAGGTGAAAACATTAGCAGAGGACCGAACACAGTGGAGACGCGCGTCAGAAGCCCTATGTTCCTCTAAGAATTAAAGGAAATAATAATGATAAAGGTAACCTTAATCGTAGCCCTAACCTTAATCCTAACCCTAATTATAACCCTCATCCTAATCCTAACCGTAATGCCTACGTGATCTGGGCGAAATTTTCGCCTTATTTGGTGAATAGCGTTTATATTTGCGCTATAATAACGACAGGTGTCGTAAATCAACGACTAGCTTGCTTGCATCCAACGTGGTTGGAGCGTTCTCATTCCTGGGACGCTGTCGTTTATCTTCACCGCTCAAAGTTCAAAGTTCAAGCTAAAACCTTTTGTTCCATTCAAAATGCAGAAAAATGAAAAAAATCGATTACTCACACGTTTCTATGAAATCGTTTTTTACTACTGACTTATTCAAATAAGTAGATGAACACTATTCACTTTAAAAAGTGGTGCTTGCTAGCCACATAAAAGCGATTTAAACACCGAATGACTGTTTCGCTCATTTGGCGCCAAACTCGTCAGCGATGTACCTCGTCTGAATGAACTCACTACTGGCTGATATGAGTGTTATTCAACTATTTATGACAGTCACTTACTAGTTTGCTGGCTTTCTTGATTGGCATTTATACTACCGAGCACCAATAATTTTGGTGAAAGAATTTTGATTATGGATTGAAAGAATGAGAAACATGGAAAACCAGGGATTACTGGACAACTGTTTCGTCCCAGTTTGAGACCCATCACCAGTAAGCACTCACTAAGTTTTGAGACCAGGATCTTCAAGTCAGAAAGCAACTTCGTAGTACATTAAGCCATTGGAACCTGGCTCAATTGCCAGCCCATGAAATCTAACTTCAACAAATTCAACCAATATTTTAGTGGGACTACCAAATTATTTCCTCGCTCCTGCCTAGGTGGATTCCAGTCACTGGTTACGACTTCTTACTAGAACTCCAAACAAATTCCTCCTGTGGCCAATCACTAGGGAGCATCAGATTGTTTCTGTAGCTCCTATAAGGATATGAAGATAGATCAGAAATACCTAAGGAGGCCGGTGAGAAACAGCACAAGCGCAAGACCTATACCCCAGTGGAACCCGAACGGAAAACGATGCGGTGACAAGTAGTTCAAGGGTGATAGATAGAAGATCATATTCAGAGGAAATGAAACCTTATAGGCAATGGTGTATCCAGCTGGAAAGAACTGCAGAGAACATGGTGAAATGAAGATGTGTTGCTGAAGCCCTAGATTTCATGAGGAACCCAAGGGAAAGAGCAGTAGTAGTTATGTAAGTGTGACTGTTAATACAATGGTGTATGGGGAAGCGCGTTTATACAGTTGGTGAACCGCAAATAAAATGGAACAGACGATATGAACATCACGACTAGTCAGTAACTGCTATCACTCTAGTGGAATCTCTGAAAACCAACTTATTAATGACGAATTGCATCATGAAATCACTGAAGTTGTAGTGAGAAGTCGTGATCAGTAAGGTCTACTGAGTTAGATGTGAGGAAAAATACTCACCGGTAACATTAAGTTGAGTTGGTGCTATATATTATGAACTGATGGCTCGAGTGTCTTGGGTTAAATTCCTGGTGGGGTTACAAAACATCTGTTCAGGACTAAGTGCTTTTGAATGCTTCTCGAACAGATAACACCTAGCTCGCCAGTTTTCTAGCCGGTCCCAAGCCCTGGTAAATAGGGAGGGTTGGACGTGAGGTTAGGAACCTCACACCATTAAATCTTTCAAACCACTAGAGAAACTTCGTGGACAACACTCCTCCAAAGAAAGAAGAGATCCTGAATGCGGTCAAGATGCTGAAGTCCGGGAAGCCAGCAGGAACAGATGGCATTCCTCTCAAAGCACTGAAGATGGCCACATAGATTACGGCATGTGTTCTCACTCCATTACTGGAAAAGGTTTGGAAAGAAGGAAAGGTACCTACTGACTGAAAGGAAGACTGGCTACCTTGTCAAGCTGCCAAAGAAGGTCGACTTATGCATGACTCTGCACGAGCTGGCCTGGAATCATGCTCTTGTCCGCGCCAAGTAAAATACTAAGTAGCATCATCATGGAGAGAATAAAGCATGCATTGGATACAGGACTCGTCCACTCACGGGAACAATCTGGATTCAGGAAAGGCAAATTATGTTCTGATCAGATTGCAACTCATTGCACCGTCATCACAGAACAAAGCATAGAATGACCTCAACAAATTCATCGACTTCGAAAAGGCCTTCAACAGAGAGCGCTAACCGAGAAGTAATTTGGAAACTGCTTCAACACTACGGCGTGCAGTGTCCAAGTCTTTATCAAGATCATTCAACAGCTGGCTATATGGCAATGCCACTTGTCAAGTGATTCAAAACGGAAAGCTCATTGAGGCGTTCGAAGTGCATACAGGAGTAAGACAAGGCTGTCTGTTATGACTGATGATATTCTTAATTTTGGTGGACTGGATTATACAGAAGACTATGAGGAAGGAGTAGACAGGAGTACGCTCGGCCACCGATGACAAGACTCCCTCTAGAAGATCTGGATTTAGCAGATGATATCTATCTAATGTCACATAAACTTGAAGACTTGCAAGCGAAAACCAACAAACTGGCTGAAAAGGCGGCGAAAACAGGACTCTGGGCGAACACAGAGAAGACGGAGGTGATGAAAATAACCAATCAACATCCACAACAACAACAAGCACCAATCACCATGAAGGGGAGAGATTTAACAGAGGTTACTTCCTTCCTTTGCTTATCTAGGAAGCATCCTTCCAGCTACAGGCAGTCGGAACGGATGAAGATGTCAAAGCCAGCCAGTCAGAATAGGAAAGGCAAGATACGCCTTCATCAACCTGAAACCGGTTTGTAAATCTTCTTCACTCCGTTAACATAAAGAAAAAGATTCGCATTTTCAACACAGATGTGAAATCGGTCCTTCTATGTGGGTTAGAAAGTTGTACTGCGTGTTAGTCACGAAAGGGATTTTCAACAAACCACTGCAAACTTTTATCAACAGCTGCCTTCGCTGTCTCCATACTGAAGAGCAAATGACCAGAAAGGATAAGTAACGAGAAACTCTGGCAGCGAACAAACCAATCATGAGCCGATTGCTCAGCAAATAAGTAGGAGAAAATGGAGATGGATTAGTCATACATTAAGGAGTCTGTCGAATGACGTCACACGCAATGGAGGCAGTCGCTCGAGTGGAATCTCAATAGGACTGGGTCTTCACTTAGATGGCGATATGGAAGAAATCGTGCGAGGACGAGATGAAAGAGTTTGATCAATCGTGGACCCAGACGAAGAGGACAGCACAGAATAGAAGAAATTGGAGATGTGTTAGTGAAGCCCTATGTCCCACTCGGAGCTCAAGGGAATAATAATAACAATAATCTCATTTGAAACCAACACTTGACAATAACATCAAAGAGATATACACTTCTAATTACTCACCTTATTAAATGTTCGCCAATTTCGATATTTCGCTGGTATTTTCACTGAACAAAAACGATCCAGTGTAATTAAGAATACAGTATACTGACTTGTTAAACATGCTGAAAAATCCAATGATAACCATAAATCACAAATTAAATGTCCTAATGGCCAATAACCTAACAGTTGATATGTTATAAATAAATTCATTGAAAATAATCCAATCAGGACATCAGTCATAGCCAATGATGCAATGAAATAATTACTTGGTACACGTAGAGAACGTTCAACAAAAAATGCGATCAATACAACAATATTACCGCCAAGAGTTGCAGTTGATACAGTCGTTGCTAGTATGGCTATTAAACTTGTTGTGACCGGTGGAAATATACTTGCAAAAGTGTTATTCATTAGCTGTCTCTAGTGGATATTTACTTGTAGGTTATTGTGTATGTGTATGTGTGTGTATATGGGTGTGTGTGTGTGTAAGAGAGTAGTGTATGCTTATCCTTGAAAAGATTTAATATTGAACATATTTTATATTGAACACTGAATCATTGTTTAAATGAATCTACAAAGAAGGGAAAGAAAACAAAAATTTTAATAATAATAAGCTTTGTTTATGGAATCAGCTGGAAACACGTGTAATAGGAATGATACAAAACCTGTCCACCCAGATATCTGTAAAATTCTACTAACCCTACGACGACAAATAGGAGAGAACAAAGAAAACTATAAAACTCAAGTTTCGAAGCCGCGTGATTATAATTGATATGATTATGGACAGTAATAAATTGTGTTCGAAACCTTGTCATCCAGTAAATAATACTGTTTCACTCACTGTGTGATATATCTAATAAACAAACTAATATGGATTTACTTATTACCACAGTGCCCAATTATGACACATATAATATCAGTTTGGGTGAATCGAATTGGATGTAAGCACAGATGGTCGCCAATGACATTTGCTGACGGCTGCTCGACATATATGTCATGAATTGGTAGAAGTAAGAATTCATGGGTCATAGGATTCCGTCCCAGTGTATGTCGTGGCTTACTGCTTTCGAAGAATCTCAAACAAGGACAAAACAGGTGTTTTGGCACTGCGTGATTTTTACTAACTCACTAACTGAAGTCAATTTACCATCGATCTTGAGAAGTGAATATAATTACAGGAATTACAACGAGATGTTCTCAGCATAAGTCCAGTCTATATAGTCAAATAAACAGACACAAAGAATGAAGTCAACTGGGATCCTCTGTCAGCTGGAATCCGTGCATAAAACTTGTGGGCTTAGTCTCTTACCATCTGGAAGAACCGATTTACTGTAAAGCTGTTGAATTAATTATTGAATAAATCAAGTTTGAAGTTTATTAGGCTGCCTTAGACAACATCAAAACACTCGTACTAGACAGCTGTTTCATCCTAGTATTTGCAAACGTGAAGGGATTGACAAGTGCTCTGTGAGATTGGAACGTACATCACCCAGTAAAGCAGTTAGAGACGCTACCGCTAAGATACATGGGTTGATGGATGATCTCGTGTTTGACTGTAATGAGTAAATTGGTTGGTCACTCGGAAGTGACTAGTGTTATACGTGTAGAACTTGTTGCTGGTGTAGATAGCCAATACACTTTGCTGAAAAGTATTGACAGACATGAAACCAAGGTTCAGAGCTTCCTACCAACCGTCCAACATTTATATATATATATGTATATATATAATCAGACCAACAATGTTGAGTGAGTAGAGCAAAATGTTACCTGGACATATAACTTGGCGAGGAATTATAACTATAACTTCCTTCCCTATACACTACCTCAAATAAACGAAGCTTTATATGTTTTATGTTTTTTTTTATTCATTTACGTTCCCAGTGGAACATAGGATGGCTTCAAGATAGGGGCTTGAAGTTTCGGTAGCAGTGGAGCTTATTTTTACGGGATGGGGTTGCTAGCTTCACGCTCAACCTTTTAATAATAATAATAATGTGCTTTATTCCAAAACAGTACATGTGATACAGAATGGAATTCTCAGCATTTTTACTACAGTATTGCATCCACTTAGTACATTATCAATAAATAGAATTCTACATAGATTAAGGAAACCACAGTTCATTATGACAACAACATATTAGCATGTCGGTAGCAAAGGTAAAGCTGAACAGTGTTTGAAGGTGTTAGAAAAGTAGGAGCTGTCATATTTACTGGCGTAAGCGAGAGAAACAAACAAAGCAGCACATAAAGGAAAGAAAAAAGAGAGAGAGAGAAAAGGAAAAGAAAGAAAGAAAATGTTGTACATATTGATGATGTGGGTTGAAAAGACGAGGTCCAGTTGTATTAATGACTATTTAACGAATTATAGGTGTCACGCCTAATGCTTTCTTTATCACACAGAACACGAGCTAAGTATGGTATGGTTGAGTTTTTGTACTTGCTAGTGCGAGCATATAGTTTTCTATATAGGCTTCTGGTTTCGCCTGATGAGATGCAAGGGGAGAGTTGTGAGTGAAGAGGGTGGTGTGAGTTAGATAAAATGGATTTGGCCCATTTTTCACATGAGTCCATGTGCCTGTTAACCAGAATATTAACAAGCTGGTTAAGTGGCACGTTACTAACCCTGCTGACAACCTTTAACCTCCTGCGTAATAAGGTATAGTCTTTCTTCAGTAGCCCGGGAAAAACTAAGGGGAAGAATTATACCTATAACTTTATTCCCTATACACTGCATCAAATAAACAAAGCCTTATATGTCTTATGTTTTTTTATTCCTTCACATTCCCAGTGGAATATAGGGTGGCTTCAAGCTAGCGACTAGAAGTTTCAGTTGGTGATACTAGCCTCACGTCCAACCGTCCCTCTTTACCGGTCTTATCACTGGCTTATCAAGTGAGGTAAATGAGTGCGTCGATAGCAGGGGATCGAACCCGAACCACCTGTGGCGTGGTTGGTGAGCATCCTATCGTTGTGCCACCGACGCATTTGTCTTATGTAATAGCAATCAATCAGCGTGGATGGGAGAAATCTAAATGAAGACATATCTTTCTATTTATCTAAGCGAGATAATTTCACCTAGAAGTGGCACGCATGAGAGTATCTAAGCCAGTGAAGATCGGATAATTAATACATATCTACACTACTCTGAAATCAAGAGCAGTATCTACATTTTAAATACTAGTGTCCAGTCATTTGAAACGTAAAATTGGCTAACGGTGTTACTCTCAAAGTAGAAATTACTAAGTCAGATGAAAGCAGCTCAACAGAGGTACTGGACAAATCAAACCACCTGGAAAAGTTTAATGCCCACATAAAAACAGGATCATATTAACCGATTAGGAAAGCGGTAGACACTGTTTTGAATAAAGTTAAGACATCCACAATAGACCTTATTCACCGGATGAAACCATTTCTAGCAAAATGTAAATGGTTTAATTTAATTCCCCGAAACCGATAACTTTCATTAGGATGTATGACTTCTTGAAAGGTAATTAATCAGTATACCCCATTAGACTCACGACTAATTTCAAATTCCTACGGGAAATCCACAATTTAAATATCAGTCTCCACCTCATTGGTGGCTACTGTATAAATGTCCTGAGGCTCTACTGAAAAATTGTATTCAGTGGGGTCAGCCATGTCAAGGTGAATTGGATGTACACCAAAGGCATTGATTAGGGACAGCACTACATCGTGAACTGAAGAAAAAGTAAGGATTCAAGCGTCAATGAATCATCGCCTAAGTGACCGAATGGCCGATAGGCTTGACCTAGCAACCTAAGGGTTATGGATTCGTTCCCTGAATAGGTCATGCGTTTGTACTGCTGAGGATTCCCATACTAGGACGAAACAACTGGCTAGTATTCCCTCTGATTTATAAATGTCAGAGATATTCCAACTAGAATGAATAGTTAAAAATTAAATAGTGGAGAAAAATGGTTAGTCTGGAAGTCATCAGTTTGTGTTCACCAATACCAATGAACATGACTATAGATGCAGTGAGAAACTAACTCATTTCTGATCGAGAAATTAGATTCTTAACTAAAGTTCTAGTACAGCTTTGTCTGACTTGTATAGTATTTAAGTTTCAAGGAAAAATATACAAACAAACTGAATGAGTTATCATATATCCGGCCAAGTTAAACTTTAAGCACCACTAACTAACTACCGATGGAGTGGGACCGCACCAATGACCTTGAAATGCTCACTGAGTAAGTTAGTCAAACCTGGCAAGTAATGTTGTCATCATCAATAAAATATGGTCATCGAAGTGTTATGGTATTAAATAGGATATCTGGCAAGTTTCAGCTTAGGTTTGGGAAGCATTAACTTACTGTATAAGCCACGAACAAGTTAGGGTTACGTTGACCTAATAAAGGCTAAATTAGGGTTGGTTCGAGTTAGGTTACAGTTAGTTTAGGCATATATCCACGTTAGGGTTAGGTCTAAGAAAGATTAGGGCTATTGTTAGGCTCAGGAGACCTAAATCATTAAATGCATAGAATGTGGTTAGATTACTCTGTTGATATAAGAATAGAACTTGCGCACTGTGGCAGAGTATAATTCCATTGTGGGTAAAATTTATTTTGATAAAATCTTACAGCGTTATACTGTAATATTTACTGATGACGACGTTTCGAGCTCAATTTATTGCTCGGGAAATATTACTGTATAACAAACATTATGAGGCTTTATCAAAATATATTTTACCCACGATGTAATTATACTCTATTGATACTCCAACCTAAAACTGAGAGCTATTTTTATCATTTAAGAGAGGAAGGTATCCTCCGTAACACTTTTATACAGCTTTTGTGCATTTTGTTCATAAGTATATGTATTCCATACACAAAACTGCCTCCTTTACGTGACTGGTGAGTTCGAGGTAATTCGCTGATTGGTATTTGGTGGTGCTTAAAGTTTAACTTTCCTATTTATCCCTAATTGTGGTAGACATATTTATTTTTACGAGTTGATCACGGATTGATATCAGTTAGAGAACGATTGAAAACCATTGCAAACAAACTATAGAAACTTAATTTGATGCTCGCTAATGACTTGCTACAGGACGGATTTTCCTGGAGTTCTTGTGCGAAGTCATGACCAGTGAGATCCATCCAGATGTCACAGGTGAGGATGGATGTCCCACCGATGACACTGGTTGGTGGTTGGGCTAAATCATGAATTAATAGAAGTTAAAATTCATGGGCTGGCCACTGAATTGAGTCCCAGTGGCTGCTGAATGGCATACGAGCTCTCTTTGTAAACAGAAGGTCCCGGGTTTGAACCCTGGTGGTGTGTGCGTACTTCCAGTGATTCCCAAAACTAGGCTGATGAAGCAGCTGCCTGGCAGTACTCCCTGATTGGTTTTCAATGGTTCTCTGACTGATATCAACCCGTAAAAACAAATC